CTACTTCCTTTGAAAAGTGTGGAGCCAAAAGCTCCCATTAACAGGCGTTACCGTTTTTCTGGAACCAGACTCACCTGCTAATGCACACTCATTTGGTATGAGGATGCAATCTAATAAAACTGTCACAGCTTTACGAATGTGTCTTTTTTTAACAATCTAAACAAACGCTTTACTATGACAATAATTACAAACCGTCTACAGTATGTGTGCTGCGTAGCCACAGCAAGGATGTGAAGGGAAGACATTAGCCGTGTTTCTGCCATAGGAGTTTCGGGAAATTTCTGGGATTGAAAAAAGTGACATCCTCACATCCGTTGGGTCTCCTCACAAAATAGTCCATTCCAGAATCTACCTTCTCAGTGGCCTGGTGGTAGTGTCCACCCTGGAACTAGGAGATTGGGATTCAAATCCAGGTTTGGTACGAAAGACTTAAAAAAATGGGACCCAATGCTTCCCTGCTTGACTCTCAGCTTTAAGGGTGTAGTGGAAAACATTACAAGGGGTTGTTTTGGGAGTTTAAACCACCAACTAGTTCCCGAGCGCAGCCACAGCTGCAGCTCACCGCTCCCCACAGGGATGAGTCAAATGCAGAGATGTAATTTCACCAACGTGTGATGCTGACTAATGTAATTTAAACATTTTTGGTAAGATGTCAGAATATCGACTCTGCTTTGGCATTGAGTCACATCATTGACCAGCGCCCAAAGGCGTCCGCAAACATTATTAACATTGGGAGTTTTATTCTGTTACCGTACGTCCTAATTTGATCCATTTGGAGGACCAGGAAAATGGCTTAGTGATGAAAAAGCTGCGTTCAAAGACCAGAAGAAGTGTTGTTTTTTATGGTGCTCTTTCCAACTGCAATACAACCAACCAACATGAGTTGACCACTCGGCGACTCTCATTTCTGAGCACATACCCTTGTTCAGCTACTTGCTTGGTTCCTAAAATGGAGACAAGCACATGCTACAAAGGTCAGGTAAAATTACCCGGAACTTTCAAAACGGGCCCATTGTGGTGAGCTGAGGAGAAGAGGTCTGCTGCAGCCTTCCAGCTTTCCTAATTGGCCAATTTGCTGTTCTTTTGTGCAGATTAACAATTACAGATACAAGTTTTTAGCACGGATAGGTCTAGTATTTTTCATTATGATAAAGTGTAGCATTTTATTTCATTGAAGTGCTCATAACTGTCCATTTTGTAGATTTTATTTTGTGCCTAGCTGTTAGCTCAATCAATCAAAGCTTTATTTATAAAGCGCCTTCCGCAACCCTGTCAGGAAGCCCAAGGCGCTGAACATGGTACAGTAGAAGGTAAATATATTGAATAAATCAAAAATAAAAGCAATTCAAATTACAAAATACAAATTACAAAAAAAGGTGAAACATTCTGGTACAGGATAAATATGTAAGACAATGGATAGAGTGAACCAATGAAAACTGTGAAATAAATTCAACATAAAAGAGGGCCAAAATCAAACATGTTCTGGAAACGCCAAGCGGAGGAGGTGGGTTTTTAGGCGACTCTTAAAGACTGGCAGAGATGGGGACAGCCTAACTGAGGGTGGCAACTGGTTCCAGAGTGACGGTGCTAGGACTGAGAAAGCCCGGTCCCCGCGAGTACGACACCTAGAACGAGGGACAGCAACCAGGCCTTGGTCAGAGGAGCGCAGAGCGCGTGATGAGGAATGTCTGTTCAGGAGTGTGGCCAGATAGGGGGGACCACCACCCTGGAAGAAATGATAAACAAAGACGAGGATTTTGAATTGTGCATGATAGCAAACCGGAAGCCAGTGCAGGGAGGCCAGAACCGGACTGATGTGGTCCCGTTTCCTGGTCCCAGTCAGGAACCTGGCAGCGCTGTTCTGCACAACCTGTAGGCGACGCAGTGATGACTGACACAACCCTGCATAGAGTTGCAGTAATCAAGCCTAGCTGTCTGCTCAAAATGCTCGTGGTCATCAGAAAGCTACGGACGGACAAACTAGCCTTCATACAGATGCCAGCAGAGCAGTGTCCATTAAATACCCTCATGTGTCCTCAGTCCACTTTTGCCTCCCTGCTGTACGGAAGCCTGATGGGAGTTCTCACTCACTTTTTGTCTAATTATGGACAAAAACGTCTGTGAGAGACGTGCAGAAGCTCTGTGTTTTGTGCATGTGAGGATTTACCCTTTGGCCCAAAGCCCAAGAATTTCATGGTTTTCTGTTTTTCTCCAAAGATGCCAAAGCTTCCCAAAAATGTACAGTGCCAAAATCAAACGGTTCTTACACGCCTGGTCATTTTCCTTCATTTAAATCAATCGGACTCCCTGTGAGCGAGTTATGTAACCTCCATCTTTCTTTGTGATGGAGTCCGGTGATCTTTAGGAGGAGATTGGGATGATGGGAGTTTTGGGGGAGGGAGAGTACAAAGCCTTGTGTTCATTGTGACTCTTCAAAGGCCCTCTCTGTATCTCCACCATTTGAGCCCCTGGGAATGACACATTTGTGACAGCGTTACATCACACAGCACGCACTGAAGGCTCCTGCTGAAAGGCGGCAGAATCTCGGTTAATGTTTAGTATCCTGGTAACAAACGAAAGCGCAGCAGTCATTAACGAGGAGTCGCCACTGCTGTCGTCCCATGAGGAAGCAGCTGGGTTGTGCTGCACGTATCTCAGTGAGTGGATCTTGCTTTTCCTGAACACAAAGTCTTTGTGTCCATTTCTGCCAGCTTCCGTGATGCCAGTTACATGCTGAGCTTCACAAAGCTTACAGAGGACCGGTGTGCTGGAGTGGAGTTAAATGATGCAAATGATGTCATCTGGTGAGGAAACAGGCAGCCAGATATTAAGCGCCCCAATTGTTGATTTGGTAGGATTTGAGTGACTAGCAGGAATTTGATTCTGAAATGTGAGTTGATGTGATAAAACATAAAAATGATCCCAACAAGTCTTGTCATTTATTTTTTTCAGGGAACTTTTGTTGGTTGTTTGTCATAAAAAACAAAGGGAATCCACGTGGTCTTTCGTTTAGTTGTTTAGTGGCATCATTGATTTTCCTGAAACCACCAGGTGTGCTTTTCTTTGATCATTATAAATAACCCCCCAACAAATAACATGCTTTTCCTAGTAAACACAATGTGAATTAAAGACATATTTCTGGGAACACTGCTAGTTAGATTTTTTTAAATCATTTTACCACCAGGTTTAGTTTTTATTCTCATTAAGTAGTCAATTCTTTTTTTCACTCAAAGTAACCTTTTTCTTAATTCTACTTTTCCCACACCATTTTGTCTTTAAGCTGTAGTCTTCCTCTTTTATTTACTTCTTCTGAGTGATCCCAATGATTATCATATATGTTAGAAAGATTGGAAAACTTTAAAACAAAGGTTCAAAACATTTGAAGAGATGTCTGTGGAAAAGGTAAGAACATTAATCATCTTACGTTCTACAGATAGATCTTTGTCTGACTTTAGTTAGGAGACAGATTTAGTTTGAATAGATTGACAGGCTAAAGGCTAGTCAAAGCAGGCCCAAGGGAAAAGTGGGTTGTTGTCATTCCAAGTGCTATTACATATATTTTGTAGCATAGAAAACTAGTTAAACCATAGCGGTATCAAAAGTTTGCTCTGCGTGTTGGTCTAGCCATGCTTCATACAGCAGGTCTACTGTTGGCCTGACTAAGTTTAAACTGGGCCAATCACAGCACTCTACATTTGTAGAGAGACGTTGCATCATTATGGCACAGTTTTGTTTGCTTGCTTTCACAATGACAGCAGAGCTGTGACAGAGCAGAACTATAAAGATGGCATCGGCTCAGGAATGGTGGTTGTTTCAAATGGCTTTGGCGTCAACTTTGGATGATTTAGAAGGGCTTTTCCTTGAAACATGTACAGAGAAAAGTATTTTTTCTTCAATGATGTATGACGGACTGACCTAGCCAGGCCAGATGTTGTGCAAGACCTTCGAACTATTGCATTGACCGACTTGAGCTCACTGTGGTGTGAAGTGTTACATTAATTATTCGGCATATGGTTTGTACTTGGCAGGCAGATCTGTGTCCATGCTGTGCTTATCTTCAGAAACACCTGGTTTGGTTCTCTGACCCCACGTCCTCTCTAACGGGATGCTGACAGCTTTAAGTTGTGAGAGTGAAAATACGATGAGGGAAATTTAGGAATCAAGAGAACAAAGGAAAATTCACGGGACACATTATTTAACCCAGCCAGCATTCATAGATGGGCCACATATTTTTATATGTATGTTTATTTATTTGGCAGACGCTTTAATCCAAAGCGACGTACAATTTTTACCTTGTAGGGCATGTTGTGAGCTGTAGGGGAAACCGGAGTACCCGAAGGAAACCCACGCATGCATGGGGAGAACATGCAACTCCACGCAGAAAGGCCACGGCCGAGTGTCGAACCTGCAACCTTCTTGCTGCGAGGCAGCAGTGCTAACAACTGCGCCACCATGCAGCCCACATATGGATATAGGTGGGCAAACCATAGGGGTCCCAACAGGGTTTTTTCAGTTATTTCTATGGTGACCTAAAAGGGGTTTGCCCAAAAATAAGAAGAAAACAAGAAGCCCAAAAAATCTTTTCCTACATAAATTTTAACGGGCCTTACATGGGTTTTCAGAGGGAGCTGGATGGTTTGACTCATGGAAACCATGGACGAACCCTGTTGGGACCCGAACGGTTTGCCCATATTTACATGTATATATATATATATATATATATATATATATATATATATATATATATATATATATATATATATATATATAAATGTGTGTCTGTGTGTGTGGGGGGGGGGGGGGGGGGGGGGGGGGGGCTATAATCTCATTTGAGCATAACTGATGATGTGTTTCTTTTGATTTCAAAAGTCAACTCTGATCACTTAATTTTAAAATTCATAATTTCACTGCCAACTAATTTCATGATTAACATCCAAACGTGAACACAAACACAGAGAACACAGCTAAAGTTCAGAGAGTCGAAATGGCCAAAGATCTATTAATGTGAGGCCCAGGCCAAGGCCTTTCCCTGGAGCTAGCTCTGAAGTCATGTGGCTCTGATGCTCGTTGATTATTTAAACTTTTAAGTGTAACGTCCAGCAATGGTCAGTTTTTAGGTACTGTTTGACCATCCGACATCTGGTCAAAAAGGAGACACGAGACTGCATGTGTTCCCTTTAAATCAGCCTGCCTCCATCCCACCAGCTGGAACTCAGAGCCTGCAGCTCTGACAGAGATAGTGAAATTGTAACAACAACATTCGCTCCTCAAGGTCCCTCACAGAACACCTTCTTATCTAAGTCTCGTTGCTTCAGAAGAAAGAAGATTTTAAAATTAAAGATGAACTTCCACAACTAATAAAGTTAAATAATCAGTGAATGAACATTTGCTTTTGCTACTTATTGAGCTTTTAAAGCACTCAATTTACCAATCCCTACATAAGCATTTCATTGCACTTAAACAGAAGAGTTACAAAAAAATTCACCCAACTCAGAATTGTGATGAATGTAAACTAGATCTATTCAATCTTAAATGGTTTTTTGAACCAGGCTGTAAATATGTTTTTTTTCTGCTGTGAAAATGGCATTTTAACACAGGAGTCAATGAGGATTTGCTCACTTCTGGTGCCAACCTATTTTTGACCCAATCCTTTTACAACAATCTCACAGATTTGCCCAGTTACCATAATGGCTCTATAAGATAAATGGTAAATGGTAAATGGCCTGTATTTGATATAGCGCCTTCTAGAGTCCTGGAACCCCCCAAGGCGCTTTACAACACAATCAGTCATTCACCCATTCACACACACATTCACACACTGGTGGGGATGAGCTACGATGTAGCCACAGCTGCCCTGGGGCGCACTGACAGAGGCGAGGCTGCCGAGCACAGGTGCCACCGGTCCCTCCGACCGCCACCAGCAGGCAACGTGGGTTAAGTGTCTTGCCCAAGGACACAACGACAGCGACAGACTGAGCGGGGCTCGGACCTGCAACCTTCCGATTACGGGGCGAGCACTTAACTCCTCAGCCACCGTCGAAATAGTCCTGCTGTGTGTCACGAGTGCTTTGGTCGGTTTGGAATGATGCACCACTATGATCATAAATGTAAGGATCTTCGACATGTTGGATTGTCTTGGTTTGATTTCAAGGACAAACGAGCATTCTGCCCTGTCGACCGTGACATGCAGCCAATCAGAAATGGACAGAAGCACGCTGCACGCGCCACCTCCTCTGTTTGTTTTCTCTGAAGCCATGTTTGATCTTGTGAGGTTTTGCTAGACTTTCTGTCTGATCAGGAAATGTTTATGAGCGAAAGTTGTCCGTGGGTATGTTTTGCCGTGTTGTTGCACACTGTAGGACTAAAACTGTCATATAACAGGATTTTTTACATCACCATTTTTTGGGATCTCATGTGAACCAGTTTTATGCTAATGTTAGGTCAACTGCGAGACATTTTGAATTCAAGCATCTGCTCAATGAATAAGTAAAAACTTTCCACACAGATGATGTCTTAAACGTTTTCACATCACAGATCTTGTGACTGCGCTTTCAGCATCAAAAGACCCCATTTTTATTGCTTAGATCGGTCACATTTCCACACCACTTTGCTTCTAATTCAGAGAATGTCACAGCAAAATCGGTTATGCGTGCTGAATGAGCTGCTTTCCTGAAGTTACACACTATTTGAGTACATTCTCCATCATCAGATGGATGCTTTTGTCAGTTTTCGCCTTGGCAACACAAGCTTCTCATTCATCTGCGCATTTTACTGCTTGGAGCTGCTTTTTATTCGAGTCTGTTTTGCCATCACTACTTAATGTTTTGCTGTATGTTTCTGCAAGGTCACATTCCTTGCCTCCCATGTCCGTCTGCACCAGACTCAACACCCCCCCGGCCCTGAGCGGCACCTCCCCTCTGACACATTCTGCTTACTTCCTGTGTGAGGAAACCAGAGGTCATGCGGTTTATATTTCACACCTGTAGCTCTGAAGTGAAACACGTTCTCCCTCATTGATAATTAACTTCATTTTTAACATCACACTATGATAAATCTGAAGAATGACGTGTGCGGACACATTTTGATTTCCCGTTCGATAATCTAAAATGATAATCAGAGGTTCCAAAAATACCTTCTCTAAGACTGGAAAAGTGTCCCAGTGCTGAGCTTCTCCTTTCATCCGCTCAGCTGTGGTCCGCTGAACAGGAAACCGTAGAATGAAAGGGGAATTTACAACAGGAAGTCGGCCTGCTGAACTCTGAGTTACAACAACAAGTCTTCCCTGCCCTGCCTGAGGAGGCATTGTGTTATCATGTGTAGATTGGCATTTCAGCACTTTAGTATGAGTGTCTAACATCATTGTTATGTTTTAAAAAGCCCCACAGAGCTCCTCTGTTATTTTCTGCCCTTCTACTTTTAGACTGCTCCACTTCCAAACTAAAGAGAAATGAGAGATTTGTGTTTTCTGTCTCTTTCATCGTTCTGCTTTTCTTCAAAGAAGGGATAAAAAAGACCGGAGGATGTAAGAAAACTGCTTTTTCTGACTGTACTCATACACTTTTTGAATTGGCTGTACAAGTATAATGACGATGATGAGATGATGAGGCGTCCGTGCCACCCCGAGGCTGATGAATCTGTCTTGACTCAGCAGGCCTGGTCTGCTTGATTGTTTTATCCCTTCTGTTTGGTTGTCAGGGAGAGAAATCTGAGGTGCCGGCTGCAAGAAGGAGCTATTTATAAAGCGTTCCTGTTTTCACATTTTTACGTGTTTGAATGGTTTACACGTCGCAAGTTCAGTTATTTTTATGCTTCCGGTCAGCTGCTTACCCAAGCGGCTGGGGTACGGAGAAAACTGCAAACATATTCTGAATTCAGTTAATAACCGATGGGTGATTACGATTTTGGTGATTCTTTGTTGTTTAAAAACAGAAAATCATAAGAAGGGAAAGAGTTTAGAGTTGGTAATGAGTGAAAAAGCTGCAGGACCAATGTTAGATAGTTTGATCATCATAACTGTGTCTGCACAGGCACACCCAGATGTGCGTAGCTCTGAAAACTTTTTTGTGACAATAAGCTGAAAAATCTAAGTAGTTCATTGTTTTTCACTGAAGATCTGATGATAGCCCCTCATGTTGTGTTTATATGCAGCGTTTGAAGTCCACCCAGAACCACCTCCCTGACTTTCCTGTCTTCGTTTGTGGGTCAGTGTGTCGTCAGGTAGCCCTTTCCCTGCTGTGGACACTGATGTATAGACATCCTGCTGGCGTGCGATGCTCTAGTTTGACAAATTAGGCATTTGGCAAGAAATTCCTTCCTGAATAATAAGAACCTCGTTTTGCCTGTTTGTTTCTCTTGATTCCCGCTTCGGGAGATTTTGCTTTCATACCCAGGTCACAGTCTATCTGTTTGCCTCCTTTATCGCAAACAAAAAGTTGATTTTGAGTGTTTTGGAATAATATCATATTCTTGGAAACAGTTGTTTGATTCAGATGTTAATTTGTCCCAAAAATTCAAAACAGGTGGCGGTAGAACGGTAAACATACGTTCAGCCTTTGTTACATCCATGCCAGAGAGGTCCGTCTGCAACGGCGGAGCCACACACTAAACGGTTGTGAAAAAGTAAACAGATGGAAATCCATCCTTATCACTCTCAGTGAACCTTGGGAGACCATAAAGTTAATTGACCGTGATGAGCACAATGCTATCAGCGAGCTGAAATAATCCTATGCTGGTACAGTACCTTCACTTACTGGGGCAATCAGCACGATTGGCTCATTTTGTCACGCGTGAAGCTTAGAGTGGAATGTGGTGGAAGTCAGCCCGAACGGTACATCCTGCTCACAATCAGCGCATTAAAAACCACACTCTGCTAATTAGTTGCTAAACCTGAACAAAAGCACACAAGTCTGATGGATCTATGAGGAAAATTGACCTTTTTTGTATCTGAGGTAGCTGGGGGAGGCATGAATTGTGAATTCTATCAAACATTAGAAATCTTTTTTCCTAATTTCTGAGATATTTGGTTTTGGCTTCCTTGCTGGTTATAGAAATGAGGTTATATGGTAAATGGCCTGTATTTGATATAGTGCCTTCTAGAGTCCTGGAACCCCCCAAGGTGCATTACAACACAACCAGTCATTCACCCATTCACACGCTGGTGGGGATGAGCTACATTGTAGCCACAGCTGCCCTGGGGCGCACTGACAGAGGCGAGGCTGCCAAGCTCTGGCGCCACCAGTCCCTCCGACCACCAGTAGCAGGCAAGGTGGCTTAAGTGTGTTGCCCAAGGACACAATGACAGCGAAAAACTGAGCGGGGCTCGAACCCGCAACCTTCCGATTATGGGGCGAGCACTTAACTCCTGTGCCTCCGTCACCCTATAAAGGCCTTTGTGTAAGGTACCACCATCTTTTCTTGTTTTCAATACAGATAAATGTTCTTGTGTCATGGCCAGAAGAATTGGACCCAATTATTCAGCCTACACACAGAATGGAAAGATCGGTGTGTGTGATGGCGTGTTGTGGCGTGACTTCAAGTTGACTTGACTGGATTTAAACTACAACTGGCTTCTAGGCCGCATGTAGAATTTAGAGGATCTGTTACAAAGCATGTGATCAAACTTGAGACCACAGCTAATGCATTGAATAAAATGAGAGTGTGCCCAATTTAAGCTACGTGCCAATATGTTGTGTGGTCACGGGTGTTTTCATCCCATTTTAGGGGGTACAGAGTCCTCCCCTCGAAATTTGCATTCATGGACCCATCTAGGTGTGTGAAGGGGGAAAGGCTGTTGTTGTTTTAGCATCCAGAAGAGAGCAGAGAATGTCTAATAGAAGCTAACCGTTAGCATTAGCGACTCCACAACACGGGGGTACTCCTTTATGCTTTTGTTAGTCAGGGAGATAAAACATCAACGTGCAAAGTAAACAGTCAGTGGACAATTTGCGTTGCTGTTAGCCAATCAGAGGTGAGATACTTTAAAATCGTGAATAATAATGAGTAAAACTCCAAATTCTCGCATTTCCTACCCCGCACTCCTCCGGTTACCTTTTATTTCTTGAAACAGGCGCACCAGAGCTTTTTCCCCCCACAGAGTTTCAGAGACTCACAAATCATTCACCCTATAAATTTATTGCTAAGAGCATGACATATTATTATTGTCATTCCAACTCCTCGTAACTCAATGTTTACACTTAAAGAGCACCTCACCTCTAAACCAATTATTTTTTTGCTGATAAACTATTTAAATGAGCGTCTAATCGCGCTGTAGACACATGTAGTCAATAATTTGGCATTTAAGTGCATCTTAGTTCAAATTTAAATATTCTGCCTAAAACGGTCAGTGTTGTGCCATCTTCAGGTAAAAACTCTGCACTGCAGTTGAATATAAATCTGCCGTCACCTCTCGCTCTGCCAGGCAACAGCATATGTTGCATTTTTCAAACATGAAGTGAGATCAGAGTAAGACTCTGGTAGGGGGTGACTTACTCTTTAAATATAATCAGTAGTGTAGTTTTAGATATATATTCTACAACTTTATGTTGTTTTCAGTTTTGTAACCGTTCACATTTATTTTGTAGCTTCCTACAATGCAAAGACCTAGTTTGGATGTCCTACAGATGTGGTCTGGACAGACGGACTCAATATAGACACGATCTGCACATCCATGTGACGTTGACTGTTTTCAGGGTTTTGTTCAGATTTCATTTTCTGCAGATGTTTTAGTAACCCTGAAGTTTCTTTTGTTTTGTCTACGCGACTGTAAGCCTCTTGACGAAACCCAGAGAGTCGTATTTGCCTAATAAAAGCTAAATCAGCTTTATCGGATCAGCTCAGCAACAGCAGTAATGGATTCCATTGTGCTGCTTGTGGCCGTCTCAGTAGCTGAAGTGTTTTGTTACATAATGCACGCAGCACATTTGTGCTTCTCGGAGCTTAATTGAGCTCGTGTTTTATTTTGGTTCTGTTCTAACCTTAATGCGTCTAATAGATGTGCATGCCACCGGCGTTTAAAGTTACATTGTTAAAGTTACGTTTCTTTACTCATCCAGACTGCTCTTCCCTTTGGTCTTAGTTGCTATGAAGTTTCCTCCAATTCTGCCCTTTGGTTCGACATCTGTAGTTTCAAAAGGACCCGGACTAGCCGGTTGCCTCGGCAATGGCTTAGGTAACTGGCATGGAGGCTGCCTACGTCTAGACAAGGTGGGGTTGTTAAGTGGAAAGGATGTGAAGAGGAAGGTGTCAAAGAAGAGAGGCAGAGAAAAAGAGAAGGATGGTTGAGATGAAATGCTGGTCATGACTATAAAGCACTCAGATAATCGGCGAGAGCTCTGAAGCTTGAGTTAAAAAGCACTTAGATTCACACGCAAATTAACTCTCTCTCGCTCACACACACACACACACACACACACACACACACACACACACTGGCAGAATAGAATATGAGAACATTGCAGCACTGGCTGGATGTTGTCCCAGCAGTTACTGCACTAACGCTTGCTGCAGCAGACGGGAGCTTACAGTCAAACTGAACAGGGTGAGGAGGAGAGGATGGTAGAAACAAGCCTGCTGCAGAGCCACAGAGATGCCGACACCAGAAAGAGGAAGAATTAGATGGAATTGAACATGACGAGCAGCTGAAAGAGGTCGATTTTTCAAAGGGCGTGATTAAAATCAGACTGATCAGGACCAGATGTGGGCTGGTGTCTGACGTAGGTAAGTTTAGGTGGATGCTTGACGGTATGTCTCGCTCTATGAGGCTGCTGCTGCTACAGAGGTCATTCGGTGATCACATCAGGTCTTCTACCTCCAAAGCTCTCGATATGTTCAGCAAGCCTTCCAGAGGAAGACGACTTGCAGGTAAGAGATAAAAACATCCACTGAGGCAGCAGGTGTGTGTTTACACCTGATTCCATGTTTTATTGCTGTGATTTTAAATGTGTGAAGGCATCTGAGTTTATGTCGGAAAGCTTGTGTTTTCATTGGCAAGGGTTGGTTCGCCTTGGTAGGATGCACAATGGGAGGGCAGAATGTGCATCGTCATTGTCTGAGAAAGGAGACGGGGTTTGCTTTAAGGTTTCTGTGAACTCAGCGTTGTTTCTGACAAGCAGATCAATTTAATCTGTCGTTTAATGGGTGGGTGGAAATGCCTGGAATGATTGTGATGCTTCCAGGTCCGGGTTGAGCTGCATTTATGGAGTTTTGCATCGCTATCTGTGGGATCGTTTCTGCCTGACCAGCCTTCCTGCAGATGCTTGAGGTGTGGTTTGGCCCAACACAATTATGACTCCATTAGACTAGAGTCCTGACTTGTCTCTGAATTATACATCTAGTCCTCCATTAAATCAGAGCTGCAGCCTGGGAACAGGTGAGCACCAGTGCTCCTTATGTTGGCCCCAAATGTCAAGCACAAACTCAAGCTACGTCAAAGACTTTTCCAGGAAATGTCCGATTATTTTTAGGGATTTCCAGCTGGAAGATGATTTTGAAATTTCAACACTTTCCAGATTAATGCAGATGTTTGCGTCTTTTTGACAGGATGTGGGAATGGACTACCATTTAACAAATATTCATAGACAAACAACATTCAGGAAACTTCAGGCTGTTGCCACATATCACAATGTGATGAAGCAGGAAGTGCTCAGATAATTACAAGGAGAACTAATTACAGTTCTCTTTATGAGTCTGTTAGTGTATATCACCCTCTCTGGCATATGCTTTCTTACCAAGGATGCTTCGCAAGCACATAAGATCCACAAACATAATCCAGTTGTGGACAGGTTGTAAAGAAAGGAATGGTTGGTGCTTCAAAGTGTTAAAACGTGTAATAAAAAAAATCCTAGTTTAATTCATTCTAGAAGGTTAAAGATGTAGACATCAGCCTGGAGGAGGTGTTCGAGTCCCCAGAGAACATCTCTTAGACTGAAAAGTCTTTATGTAAAACTGGGCTACACGTTGCAAAAAGAGGTGTTTTGTTGCATCCTGATGCCGCTATCTAAACATGGAAAAAGAAAAAGCTTAAAGACGAAGTTCATGCGTCTCAGTGGTCTCTAGTAGGAATCATTGTCTTGTAATTTGTATTCTGGGGAAAAAAAGCTCCAGTGCACTTGTTTCAGGAACTAGAAGTGAGCCAGATCAGAGGTGAGACGACAAGATTTGGAGGCTTATGTCCTGATATTTGGACATCCCGCCTTGGATTGTAGAACAGCAATGTGACTCTACCTCTGACTGTTTGTTTTGTAACGTTGATGTTTTATTTCCACAAATAACACAAGCCTGAAGGAGTTCTGCTGTGTTGTGGAGTTGCTAATGCTAATGATTAACTTCTCCTAGTCGAGATGTGCTCTGCTCTCTCCTGGATGCTGTGTGAGTCCGTTCTGTCTTCTTGATCCCCAGTGAGTCACGGCGGATGGCTGCTCACATTGAGCCAGGAACCTCTGAAGGTTTCTTCCTGTTAAAAGGGAGTTTTCCTCCCCACTGTCACTACATGCTTGCTTAGAATGGGGATGGATGGGATCGGGAAGTCAGTTACTCGATGAAATCAGCTGGGTTCCTTATATAGGAAAGTTTTATAAACTGAACTCAATTGGAATGCTTTACTTTGTGAAGTGCCTTGAAACGACTCCTGTCGTGATTGGGCGCTCAGTAAACAAACTGAATTTAATTAAATTCAACACCAGCCTTCCTCAGTCATGAGTCAACATGACCAAAACTGTTCATTTTGTTTATTAACGACTTGGTAAATGTATCTAAGACACTTGGTACCATTCTATTTGCAGATGATACAACACTGTTTTACTCAGGATCAAATATTGAGGAGGTGGCTAAAGTGATAAATGATGAACTGATTAAAATTAAAAACTGGTTTGATATAAATAGATTGACACTGACTCTTAATAAAACACATTTTATACTGTTTAATGATAAAAAGAACAGTGATGTGTCATTGGAAATAGATGGGATTGCAATTCAAAGAGTAAAAGAAACTAAATTTCTTGGAGTTCTTATTGATGAAGACTTGACATGAAAATCCCAAATTAGTTACATAAAAGGTAAAATTGCCAAATCCTTAGGAGTATTACATAGAGTCAAGGTTTTACTGACTAATTCTGGTTTGTTGGCATTGTACAATTCACTGATTTTTCCATATTTGACTTATTGTGTAGAAATCTGGGGAGCAACATACAAAAACTATACACAACCTTTATTTAGTTTACAGAAAAGAGCTCTGAGAATCATCAATTATAGTGGCTGTAGAGATCCATCGAACCCATTGTTTATTAAATATAAATTACTGAAATTTCATTGTTTAAAAGTCTGGAAAATCTTACAAACCATGTATAAAGCCATTTTAGGTACTCTGCCAACAAACATTCAGGGGATTTTTGAAAAGAGAACTAGTAATTACATGCTGAAAGAAACTGATGTGTTTACAAAACCCAGATTTAGAACTAAAATTAAGGAGTGGAATATATCTGTAAATGGTGTTAAATTATGGAATAACCTTAGAAGGGAAATTAAAAAAAAGTCTCTCATTTCATGTATTCAAAAAATGTACCAAATTGAGTGTACTAAATAATTATGAAAATGTAAATTAAATCAAAGATCATGATCGCACTGGAATTTAGAACAGGATAATGTTTAAAATGAATCTGTATGTGTGTCTGACAAATGGTAATTATATATAAATTGATTATTTCTACTGGAAAAGGGGGCAGAAATTAGAAGGTTTTTCTTCATTCTGCTCCTTTTCATTCAAATTTGATTTTTTGTTATTTATTTCTTATTGTTTATAAGTTTTATTTGTTTTTATTTTGAATGAAATAAATGGAAAGAAACCCATGGGTGATTCAATGAATTTGCACATTACACATTGTTGTTGTGAGAGCGGCTTGTGACCCTGTACCGTTATCTGCCACGTGGTGGTGTTGCTAATGCTAACAGTTAGCTTAAACTAGTCGGGACTTTTGCTGCTGTTTCTTTAACCCTAAACCAACAATAGCCTCCCCCAGTCGTGTGTCAAGATGGGTGAGTCCATGAATGTTAAGTGACAGTGTGACGTAGATCTGTCAAGATCTTCTAATCCTAAAGTTTCACAGTCTATTATTTTGACATCAGAGCTGTGCTTCAAATGGGAGTTGGAGTCTGATTTTTTGACTTCTCGCCTCTGACTGGATAAAAGCAATGTGACTCTACCACTAACTGTTTGCTCGGGAACGTGAATGTTTTATATCCATAAATACACAAGCCTGGAGGAGCTGTGTGTTTGAGTTGCTAATGGTTGCTAAGTGGTTAGCTTCTGTTGAAAGAGACGTCCTCTGCTGGTTCTGGACGCTAAAACAACAACAGCCTTCCAATTCAAAGTCCAATTCATATTGTGGCGTAGAGTGGTCAGGCCTTTCAAATCCCAGTTGTGCTCAACACCTTTAATAAGTCACAGCTAAAGCTTGGTTTATGCTTGACGCATTCACTTTCCGCGCGGTGATGGGGCTCCCGGATGGAATGTGCTTCATAACTCGCAGCGTTTATGGTTTGTGCGGCTCATCTCTGCGGTGAGCCAATATTCTCCCAAACTGAACGGGTCAGCATGAAGCTCTACGGCATGCATCCAACACTACACCATAGTAGAAGTAGAAATTACTGTTTACAACATGGCATTTCAGCATTTTTAACAGCGTCCTCGTCTTTTCCGACAGTGCGAGCTATTTCTCTCCAATTATTAACTACATGTTGATCACGGCGATCTTTGAGAGCTGAATCATACAAATGTCTGTATTTACGAACCTCTGCCATACTAGTTCTTGCCGGTCCGCCATGTTTTTCCGCGTCCGTCCGTCCGCGTGGTTAGAAATTTCCGAGGTGCGTGTTGCGAAAATTTTGGGCCGTGCGGGGACGCGGTGGAGGGGCGTGGTTGTTAAAATGACGCAAAATGACGCAACTTTTACGCGCAGAGCCGTGCGGACCTCGCGGACGCGTCAAGCATAAACCAACCTTTATGAGGACAATCACAAAAACATCTCTGCTTCATCAGTTGTGTGCTCTCTTCTTTCCATTCAGATTCTCCTCAAGCAGGAAGAGGATGATTTGAGAGAGAAAAAAGTTTCTAGTGTTTGTTTTTCAACACAGTTGTCCTTCAGGACTTGAGAGTTATGAGAACCAACAGATGTTCAGATGTTTAGAGTTACCTCTGGTTTAGCATTCTGTCAGTCAGACGCAGGCCATTTACATCATGACTAACAGATATAATAGGTCTAAATAAGCACTGCATTGGGAGCATTTGAAGTATCGGTAGGAAAGGACAGATGAGAAGTTTTGATCTGAGCACTCAGCACATCATGTTCAGAAAGTGCTCACTGGATTGTGTCAGCACCACTCAGCTTTATTGCCCCTGTACCACTTGTGCTTACATGTCCTCTTTTGCCTCCTACTTGGCACTCGCTGAACACTCTATTTGTCTGATCTGAACACTGTGTTACAGTCTCCCTTCAATGAGATTATTACAGAAATGTTTAATATCTTTTATTAAAATTAGTTTAAAAACTAGGCCTGTTGTTGTGTTTTTGGGCTCACCTCTGGCTGCTCATCAGGTTTGCCTTAATGTTTCGGCTTCAACTTTGTTGCAGAAATCAGACAATTCAACCATTTTCCAAAGACACAAGGGGCAGGCATTAGAATAATTGTTTCTAAAAGGTTCAAATTACACGTTACATTATTTAAAGCTTTCATTCACTCACCTTCTCTGGTCTCTTTGCTCGAATGAACACCTTTTAAAGAGCAAGTCGCCCCCAAATAAACTTTTTTTGCTTATAAACTAAATAAACGAGTGTCTAATCGTGCTGCAGACACGTGTCGTCAATAAT